TGTGTGTGTGTGTGTGTGTGTGTGTTTGTGCACAGAGATTCCATGCAAACTCACGATTTCATGATTAATTTCGGAGAGTGGGTAGAGTCTAGCCCTTATGAGGAATTCAGGGCAAAGGAAAAATAATTGTATTTTTAGGTATTTTAAACAATTTCACGTCTGAAATTTTGTGTGTTTTGATGTTTTTTGTGTGGATGAGCAAATCAATAAACTTTTTTTTTTTATGTAAATGAGTCATTACTGTGAGTGAAATAAATTCTGATAAAATAATAATTTAGGCTGTGTGCACCAAGATGGGGCTGAAGGACTAGATATCACTGTTTTTTACTATAAAAACCTACTCTGATAAATATATTCACTAATGTCAGTTTCTATGTAGACATGTAGGCTACCTTTAAGTCTTACAGGATGTTATTCAATATTTTCACAATTATTTCCCAGGGGGAAAAAAATACATGCCTAATGGTAATGAGGCGTGTTGTCACTATGCGGCAAGTTGTCACATTAGAATGTTGCAATAAACCTTTCAGCTAAACTTTAATAATACCGCAGTTATGAAAATATAAAGGCCACTGAACAAATATGAACATGTTTTGTACTTTATACAGTGTATAATTTTTTTTTTTTTTTTTTTACCCATCTGCTGTATGTTTCTAGTATTTATGGATTTTTTTTTTATGGTATCACTTTACTTCCTTAAATTAATTGCATCCGCTTATATTCTCATTTGCAAGTTGCTTTGATTAAATGTGATAAATGAATAAATGAACATTTTGAATATTTACAATGTTTGACAACTTGCCCTAGCATGCCTGAAAACATTTCAGTCTTTGGGTTACGTTCAGATGGATATATATGCAAAATCACTGCTTTACATTTTACCTGTATTTCGAGACAATAAGATTTAGCAAATGAAGCGTTTTAACTATGTATGTAAAATATAAATTGAAATACAATAATTACGCTATTGTAAATACAAAACTATAAAACGTGTATATAAAAAACAAAACAAATATAAAAGGTTAAAATCGCAGGGGCAGACAAATCCTCGTCAGCTGCCCTGAGGTCGTCTCCATGGGAACCAAATTGAAAAACACTACTAACTCAGACAGAAAGGAAAATTATTGCGTGAGCTGAGTTGTAATTGGAAAACTCTTGAAACGGCTTGTGGTCAGAAAGGAAAATAAAAGGTTTTTGTATTAATTTAAGCACATTTTGAAGGCTGAAACAGCTGCGAGTAAATTTATTTGGGATGTCGGCCACCATCAACCTACTAGCAAATCCTAAAGGAGTGAAGAAGCTGTGCGAACTTTGCCAGAAACCTGCAAAACGTCAGTGCACAAAATGCCTGGTCACATTTTACTGGTGAGTCTGGTCGGGTCCTTGTGTTTTTGTCTTTAAATTAACCAGCCAACTGGTGTTAACCGACCTTTAAACTAGTAATACGTAATGCTCCATCGTGTAATTGCGCGTACAGACAGCAGGTGGCACTGTAGACAAACAAGTCATGCGCACATTCTTCTTGGCCGCGTTACTGCAGAGATGGAAAGGTTGAACGAGTTCAAACAGCTGGAGGAGAAATTATGTGCAGAGGGAAGATAATAGCCAGCCATGCGTGCTTAAAGCCAACCAGGAAAAAGAGAAAGAAATATGACTGGAAAATGTATGTGTTTTGTGTGCTTGCCTGGAGTTTTCACTTGCTGTTTTTAAAGACGCCACAATCCTCACAACCGTCTACGGACTGCGGTCAAGCCAGCCGCGCTTTGAAAATGCACGGTCAAGCCAGCCGCATTTTTTTTTTGTTTTGCGCGTGTAGTTGTGTACTTACGGTACGGGTGCTGAGAGCATGGCTTGACCGTGCATTTTCAAAGCGCGGCTGG